GCTACTGCTCCTGGCCCTCTAGAGCTGGACCTGAGAGGTGAGACCCTGTCCCTTCACCCTGGCCCTTGGTGTGGGAGCTGGCACAGCCAGCCAGCCTGTCGGGTGTGCCTCCTGTGTCTGAGACAGCCCTGGGCTGGACCAGCCTCAGGTGCTGGGGCCCCGGCGAGTTCTGTGCTTGGGGCTGTGTCCCCAGTGCAGCAGAAAGCCTCCCTGCTCCCACCCCTGTGCCAGCCCTCGCTGTGCAGAGCTGTGAGCTGCCAGGGGGGCCTCTGGGCCTGCACAGCCACGCCAGCTGCAGCTCTGAGTCAGTGACAGCCCCAGAGAGAACGCCCAGGAAGGAGCAGTCTGGAATGGAGTGCCCGGCGAGTTCTGTGCTTGGGGCTGTGTCCCCAGTGCAGCAGAAAGCCTCCCTGCTCCCACCCCTGTGCCAGCCCTCGCTGTGCAGAGCTGTGAGCTGCCAGGGGGGCCTCTGGGCCTGCACAGCCACGCCAGCTGCAGCTCTGAGTCAGTGACAGCCCCAGAGAGAACGCCCAGGAAGGAGCAGTCTGGAATGGAGTGCGTTGCTGCACCGCCCGCCTCAGGGCCTGTCGTGCTGAAGTGCAGGGGTGACCCCTGTGCTGTCCAGGGCCCTGCCCCAGCGACCCTGCCCCAGCCACCTCTTGCGACTGAAATTCACCCCAGAGCTCAGCACAGAGGGACTCTGAGCGACCCTCTCCCTTCTTTGCAGGTGACCTGGAGAGCTACAAGAAGCAATCATTTGTGCTGAAGGAGGGCGTGGAATACCGGATAAAAATCTCCTTCAGGGTAAGAATTCGGATCTGAAAACTGGGTGTGTGGAACGTGGGGTGCTGCAGCCCCAGCCCCAGGAGTGCAGGAGCCCCGGGGCGTGGTGGGACAGAGGAAATTCCCTCCTCGGGTGGGCGGGAGCAGCTCCCACCGTCCTGCCTTGTCCCTCTGCAGGTCAACAGGGAGATCGTGTCGGGGCTGAAGTACATCCAGCACACCTTCCGGAAAGGGGTGAAAAGTAAGTGCCTCCCTGTGGCTGGGGTGCTGTGTGTCAGGCCTTGCTGCCCCTCCCACGGGTGACGGGGGCTCACGTGCTGGAGCCCCACAGCTCCTAATGGGGGAGACCGAGTGTCCCCCGTGGCGTCCAGGCCGCTCAGCCCCTGGTGCTGTGTGAGGGCTTCTGGGTGCTGCCTGCCCCAGTGCCCCAGGGCTCCAGGCGCCTGGGGGAGCCTTCCGGGGCGAGCGGAGCTGCTAGTGTGGGTCGTGTTCTCCCAGCTCCTCTGGGGCGTTCGTAGCAGTGACGGACCCTTGGTTGGCTCTTGCCTTGCCCCAGGCTCAGCAGGGGCTCCATGCAGCTCTTTCTCTCCTCCTAGTTGACAAGACCGAGTACATGGTTGGGAGCTATGGCCCCCGGGCAGAGGAGTACGAGTTTCTGACCCCCATGGAAGAAGCCCCAAAGGGCATGCTGGCCCGGGGCAGCTACAACATCAAATCTAAGTTCACAGATGATGATAAGACTGACCACCTGTCCTGGGAGTGGAGGGGCTCCATGCAGCTCTTTCTCTCCTCCTAGTTGACAAGACCGAGTACATGGTTGGGAGCTATGGCCCCCGGGCAGAGGAGTACGAGTTTCTGACCCCCATGGAAGAAGCCCCAAAGGGCATGCTGGCCCGGGGCAGCTACAACATCAAATCTAAGTTCACAGATGATGATAAGACTGACCACCTGTCCTGGGAGTGGATCCTGACCATCAAGAAGGATTGGAAGGACTAGCCCTTCCCAAGGCCAAACCCCAGAGAGCGCG